GAGAGAAACATCGATCAGCTGCCTCCTGCACATCTCCCACTGGGGATGTGCCCACAACCCAGGTACATGCCCTTGACCGGAATCGAACCTGGGACCTTTCAGTCTGCAAGCCGACGCTCTATCCACTGAGCCAAACCGGCTTCGGCTCCTTTTACATTTATTAATTGGAATTACCTCTTAGTTTTATGTGATCTCTTCCTAAATATGTTGAATTTCTGAAAACCCCCCAAATTGGGGAATTTGTGGTTGAGTAATTTTAATATATCTTAAGTTATTAAGATACTTTCCTTTTCTCATATATAGCCAGACTCTATTATATGCTGATTTCTTGATTAATTCTTTGGTGTTACCATTTACAAATTGCCATTGGCCTTGTGTATGTTTATTTCATTTTGCTGTAGTTTTGGGGTACTACTCCGTCTCTCCATGGAAAGTGGCTTGGGAGTGAGGTATCTGCAGTCCTTGCTGTGAATATTGTTTCTGAGAGGCAGAGTGATGACCTGGAAAGTGCTTGGGTTTCAGAATACGGCAGACCTGGTTCCAATGTTGCCTGTTCCTGTTAGGTACCGTGGGCAAGCTAAGCTACCTAACATTTTGAAGCCTTAGTTTTTCACTTAAAAATAACTAATATTTCTGATACACAAAAATAATAAAGAATAACACAATGGAGCTTGTGTACTTACTACTCAGCTTGAGAAACAAAATCTTGGAAGGTTAGAGATAATGCTTATAAAGCATGTGATACATATCTGAGTGTTCATTAAATGATAGTGATAAAATACTGAGCAATGTTCCAGGCTAGTCATTGATAGACTACTTTGTAAAGTGAGCAGTGTTTTTATGTTTTTGTTTTTAATATATTTTATTGATTTTTTTACAGAGAGGAAGGGAGAAGGAGAGGGATAGAGAGTTAGAAATATCGATGAGAGAGAAACATCGATACAGCTGCCTCCTGCACACTCCCTACTGGGGATGTGCCCGCAACCAAGGTACATGCCCTTGACCGGAATCGAACCTGGGACCCTTCAGTCCGCAGGCCAATGCTCTATCCACTGAGCCAAACTGGTCAGGGCAAGTGAGCAGTGTTTTGAAGCCTTCATAGTGTTCATCCTTATTTGAACAAGTTCTTTTATAGTATAGTTTTTAGGATATGTTGATTTCTTCCTCCTCACGTTTGCAGAAACAGATCCATGTACCCTCTGACCTGGTTCTGTACTTCATTGCTGGTGTTTGCATTAAGAGACATAGCTGATAAGGCCAGCGTTTACCTTTTGGAAATGAAATGCTTCTTATCTTGAGTAAATACATATGCAGGTTACTCATGTTGGTATTGTGCCTTGCCCCAGGAAAGGTTTTGTGTACATTTTAAGCATGCCATATATTATGATAGATTAAGTGTTTAGTTAACATTCATAGAAGGACAGTAATTCTTTTTAAAGTAGTGTTGGAGTAGTTGAAATCTATTCGGTGAATTTGTATTTGACCTCTTATTATATTTATCAGCCATATAAATTAATATGTATAACACTAAAACATTGTTATTTGATGCTTTTGGGGGGGTGACCTTACCTAGAGACAGTAAGATTAAAGGATCATTTTTGTAGACTGTAATTTTCCTGGCTTCTGACTATGTCAACTCCGTTACCTATCAGTGATCTCTAGTTTGCCATTTGTGGGTCATCATTCCTTTCTTGTGTAAGAACTCTAATTGGTAAGGTGTGAAAGTTACTGATTAATACAATAGTGTGTGTGTGTGTGTGTGTGTAAAGGAGAATAATTATAGTAGCTGAAAGCTCTCCTCTGGATTTCGGTGCGAATTTGACAGGTTTACTTTCAACTCTGAATTAGAATGGACCTTTGAAGACCTTGGCCATACCTTTTTCTTTTTTTTCTTTTTTTTTAATATATTTTTTATTGATTTTTTACAGAGAGGAAGGGAGAGAGATAGAGAGTTAGAAACATCGATGAGAGAGAAACATCGATCAGCTGCCTCCCGCACATCTCCCACTGGGGATGTGCCCGCAACCCAGGCACATGCCCCCGACCGGAATCGAACCTGGGACCCCTCAGTCCGCAAGCCGACGCTCTATCCACTGAGCCAAACCGGTTCTGGCAGCCATACCTTTTTAAAAAATATTTTTAAATTGATTTTTAGAGAGAGGAAGGGAGACACAGAGAGAGAAACATCGATGTGAGAGCAGAAAATGAACACCCCCTACCTAGGATCAAGCCCATAACCCGGGCACATGCCATGACTGGAAATCGAACTGGCAACCTCTCCTTGCATGGGAGGATGCCCAACCAACTGAGCTACACTGGCCAGGGTTTGGCCATACCTTTTTAGTGGAATTTTATCTTTAGCAATATGTCTGAGACAGCAGTTATAACTTTGTAAAGTTGTTTACTCTGAATGCTGACTACTTTTAATCCATAGGATCAAAGGATAAAGTGAAGTATGTAGCTTATCTTGGCACATGACTTGTGCTTGCTAATTTCATCAGAGGGCATCAAAATTAATTCATTATTCTTCAGAGCAGATCTGCTGACCTATCACAATGGAAAGACTTCTAGCTAATTATAGGGACATTTAGGACTTATTCGTCATCTTGGGTTAGACAGAAAATCATAAACACTTGTTTTTAGATATCTTCTAAGTTTAGCATTTCTTACTTTTGTTCTTTGAGTTCCTTAACTCTTTTTAAGCCCTTTTTACAGAAATACAATTGAAATATAATATTGATATGTAATAGCTTAAAGTGTACAGTGTATTGACATGATACATTTATCTATTGTAGTATGATTGCCACCATAGCATTAGCTAGTACCTCCATCATGTCACATAATTATCATTTTACTAAAGGCCTAATGCACGAAATTTGTGCAAGAGTAGGCCTTCCTTCCCCCCGGCTGCTGGCACCGGCTTCCCTCTGGTACCCGGGACCCAGGCTTCCCTTCAGCCACCGGCAGGCACCTTGCATCCCCGGCTTCATCCAGAAGGTCATCCTGAAGGATGTCTGGTCTAATTATCATATTACACTTTTATTATTATAGATTATGTTGACAACAGTTAAGATTTAGTCTCTTACAACTTTATTTTAAGAATATTTAAGGAAGCCCTAACTGGTTTGGCTCAGTGGATAGAGCGTCGGCCTGCGGACTCAAGGGTCGCAGGTTCGATTCCGGTCGGGGGCATGTACCTTGGTTGCGGGTACATCCCCAGTAGGGAGTGTGCAGGAAGCAGCTGATTGATGTTTCTCTCTCATTGATGTTTCTAACTATCCCTCTCCCTTCTTCTCTGTAAAAAATCAATAAAATATATTTTAAAAAATATTTAAGGAACTCGTATAGTATTTGTCTATGTCTGTCTTACTTATCTCACTTAGCATGCCTTCAGGATCTATCCCTATTGTTACAAATGGCAGGATTTCCTTATTTCTTTTGCAGCAATAATAATTTTATTTATTTTTCCAGTTTTATTGAGATGTAAGTGACATAACAATGTATAAGTTAAAAGTGTACAACGATTTGATATCTACACTAATAAAAGACAAACATGCAAATTGACCATACCTTTGCTATGCCTTAAGCCATGCCCACCAGCCAATCAGAGTGACTATATGCAAATTAACCCAACCAAGATGGCAGCCTGCAGCCACGGAGCTGGAGCAAGCAGGAGGCTTGGTTGCCCCAGTGATGGAGGAAGCCAAGCTTCCCGCCTGCCGCGGCGGCTCTAAGTTCCACTCAAGGCAACAAAGTTTCAATTATGGAAGATAAATAAACCCCAGATACCTGCTTTCAGCTGGCCGTGGCCACAGAGCTGGAGCAAGCAGGAGGCTTGGATTGCCCCTGGCGATGGAGGAAGCCAAGCTTCCTGCCCGCACTGGCCGGCTCTGAGCTCCACTCAAGGCTACAAAGTTTCAATTATAGAAGGTAAATAAATCCCAGAATAAAAAGAAAAAGAAAAAAGGAGAGGCTGGGAGCTTCCGTCGCCAGGGGGCTTGGCCAGCCTGAAAACGGCCCTCAGCCCCTCACCCAGACTGGCCAGACACCCCAGTGGGGACCTCCACCCTGAAGGGGGTGTGGCCAGCCATCAGCCCCTCACCCAGGCTGGTCAAACCTCCATGGGGTGAGGGCCCCCACGGGGGGGGGCTTGACCAGGCTGGCCAGGCACCACAGCAGGACCCCCACCCTGATCCGGGACACCCTTCAGGGCAAACCAGCCGGCCCCCACCTGTGCACCAGGCCTCTATCCTATATAATAAAAAGGTAATATGCAGAACGACTGGGAATGACTGGCCACTGTGACACACACTGACCACCAGGGGGCAGATGCTCAAATGCAGGAGCTGTCCCCTGGTGGTCAGTGCACTCCCACAGGGGGAGCTCTGCTCAGCCACAGGCCTGGCTGATGGCTGCCAGCACAGCGGTGGTGGTGGGAGCCTCTCCCACCTCCTCAGCAGCACTAAGGATGTCCGACTGCAGCTTGGGTCTGCTCCCTGCTGGTAAGTGGACATCCCCCGAGGGCTGCCGGGCTGTCAGAGGGATGTCTGACTGCCAGCTTGGGCCCGATCCCCCAGGAAGCGGGCCTAAGCCAGCAGGTGGACATCCTCTGAGGGGTCCCAGACTGCAAGTGGGCATAGGCTGGGCTGAGGGACCCCCCCGAGTGCACAATTTTTTGTGCACAGGGCCTCTAGTATGTATGTATTACAAAATGATTACCATAAAAAGTTAACTTCCAAGATAGGTTTTTCAGGGTGTTGGTTTATTATGCAGGTGGGTTTATAACAGTTATGAAATGTAGCAACTGCTGCATTGCTATATGGGAGGAGTCAAAATCACTAACAAGGGATATTTGTCAGTGATTATATAGAAAAGAATTGTCAGGCAAAAATAAATACATATATAAATAAGTACAATAAAGTGAAGCACTCATTTGACTGGTATTAGAAATGTGCATGAGAATTTCTAAGCTTTAATTTGGAATTTGATTCTTCATTCAGGATCGGAAATTAACCAAAGCTGAGCAGCAAAGATTTAAGGAAGAAGCAGAGATGTTAAAGGGTCTCCAACATCCCAATATAGTTCGATTTTATGATTCCTGGGAGTCTACATTGAAAGGAAAGAAATGCATTGTATTGGTGACTGAACTTATGACATCAGGAACATTAAAGACGTAAGTTGACCCTGATAGTGTTAATGGAGTTCTTTTTGGAAATAATTTTCAGTGTCATAAAAGTTGCTTGTAAAATAACAGTATTTGATTAAAGAATTTGTAGAATCTGAATCTAGAGACTATATTTCAGAGCAGGTTAAAAATTATGATGTTAATGAATGTTGTTAGAAAATAGTGTTGTGAAATTATTTGTGGAATAGCATAGGAGTTTAGAATTAGAAATCATAGAGATAATATAATGTTGTGTAAAAGATACTGAAAAGTTAGGGGTGTGGTCAGGTTCACATAGCTAGTGAGCTATATACTATGTGATTATAGTCCATTGCTTTGTTTCTGACTAGTTTTTCATTTGATGGTTTAAATCACTTATTTGTAGCTATTAAATGTGGGGCACACTTTCTGTTTCCTAGCATCCTTACACTAAAATTTTACATAGTTAAAGCCTCTAGTGATCTATATAAGCAGTTATTAAGAAGTAGAGGCGGACTTTTTAAAAAATATATATTTTTATTGATTTTAGAGAGGAAGGGAGAGGGAGAGAGAAACATCAATGATGAGAATCATTGATCGGCTGCCTCCTGCACACCCCTATTGGGGATCGAGCCCGCAACCCTGGCATGTGCCCTTGACTGGAATCGAACCTGGGACCGTTCAGTCCGCAGGCCAAAACTTTATCCACTGAGCCAAACCAGCTAGGGTGAGATGGACTTTCTTTTTAAAATTGTGCTGCCATTTCACAAAAGGCCACTCTAATTGGAATGATTCTTGTTTTGAATTCAAAATACTAAACTTGGTAGGATGTCTTTTCTAAGAATGAGGCCTTAGATTTAGAATTTTCTTCATAACATTTTCTTTCCATAACAGACAATAAAAAACAACTTAGTGCCCAGCCAGCATGGCTCAGTGGTTGAGCATTGACCTATGAATGCAGGAGATCACGGTTTGATTCCCAGGCAGGGTACATGCACGGGTTGCAGGCTCAATCCCCATGCAGGAGGCAGCCAATCAATGATTCTCTCTCATCATTGATGATTCTATCTCTCTTCCTATCCTTTCCTCTCTGAAATAAAAAAATACATATTTAAAAGAAACAAATAAAAAACCCCAACAACTTAGTGATGGTAATAGTAGTATGGCATATACAATATCTGCTAGCTTACGTGATTTACCCTAATACTGCTCATATAGTAAGTTAGGTATGTTTATTAACATGTGGTCTTTTGTTTCTTTATATAGGTACTTAAAACGATTTAAAGTCATGAAACCAAAGGTCCTAAGGAGCTGGTGCAGGCAAATTTTAAAGGGGTTGCAGTTCTTGCACACTAGGACTCCTCCTATTATTCACCGGGATCTCAAGTGTGACAATATTTTCATCACGGGACCTACTGGATCTGTGAAGATTGGTGATCTAGGCCTCGCTACCTTAATGCGCACATCATTTGCTAAGAGTGTCATTGGTGATTAACATTTTATAGTTGATTGGTTGGGTAAAGAGAGTTGTTGATTGTATTTGTCTAGAACAGGGAGCAGCAAACTACAGCCCATGGGCCGAATTTGGCCCTGCTGCCTATTTTTATAAATAAAGCTTTATTGGAGCACAGCTATACCCACTTGTTCGTGTATTGTCCGTGGCTGCTTTTGTACTACAATGGCAGCATTAAGTAGTTGTGACAGAGACCATATGATGGCAGAGCCTGGAATATTTACCATTTGTGTCTTAATGGAGAAGTTTGCTGACCTCTGGCCTAGTATGTGAATTTGCTTTGAAATATTATATCTTGCCTTATTTTTGAGATATCCTAGTGTATTTCTTTTGTGGGGTATATTTTAAATTATTGAAAGTTTCTAAGGACTTAAGAAAGCTAATTTACTAATTTAATTATGAAAAATTTCAATAACTAAAAAGGATAGAAATAAAAACAAATTTTAGTGATCATGACCTAATCTTGAGCATTACAGATTGTACTTTATCAGAACAGAAAGTTAATGAAATTCTTTAAGTGCTTTATATAGATATAGCAAGTATTCAACAAATTTTATATTTATAAATTTCTTTTAGGAAGCACAAATTAACTCAAGTAATTCTTATGGAAAAGGGAAAGTGAATTTTGTGAATACATTTTTCTTTTTAATAAAAGTGTGGTTGTGGTATTACCTTGTAGGGACTCCTGAGTTTATGGCCCCAGAGATGTATGAAGAGCACTATGATGAATCTGTAGATGTCTATGCTTTTGGAATGTGTATGCTGGAAATGGCTACTTCGGAGTACCCTTATTCTGAGTGCCAAAATGCAGCTCAAATATACCGTAAAGTAACTAGTGTAGGTATAACTTTATTCTTTTTACTTCACAAACTGCCATATTTCATGTTGAAGTTGGTTTAAGTAAACTGAGTAAAACCTAATTTTGGTTTAGTTCTGTATAGCAGTGCTAAATTAAATATAATTGTAACGAAACAAGTTTTAGATATATGTTGTATACCTATATCCTATTGGGGTCATATAAAATGCTCTGTATTAGTATCCTTGGGAAAACATAGACATATCATCAATATCTGTTTGTAAAGAATTTTTAGATACTTATTAGATGGTTCTTATTTTCCAAACCTGAATAATAAAGATTGGCTAAATAGTTTTGAGGGTCTCTTTTAGTGCTAAAAGCCTGATTAAGAAAGGGCATTCAAAATATAGTTCAACAGATACAGTATTTGATTCTTACTATGAATAATTTTTTAGAAATTGCAAGGAATGCAAAGATGTATAAGAAGTGTCTGTTACCCACAAAGAACTTACATTTTTAGCAGGAGAGTGATATAAATTCACAAATAATTATACAAATAAGTGCATGGGAGTATTTATTGTAAGGGACATAAGGGAGGTAGAAGCAAAGTGTTAGGATTGTTCAAAAGAGGTCTACATCATATCCAATTAGGTGACTCAGACCAGGAAGGCGATCGTTAGACTGTTTCCAGTAACTAATGCTAATAGGTGCTGTTTTTAAATGTATGCTGTATGCCACATGCCTTCATCTTTATATCTCTACAAGATGGTGCTATCTTCAGTTTATAAATGATAAGACTGAGTATCAGAGATTGTGACTTATCCACATTCACATTGCTACTACTAATGGATTTTGACCCTAAGTCTGACTTCAGAGGCTTGTGTTAGATAGACAATAAGAAATAAGGCCAGCCCTGCTGGTAGCTCAGTTGGTTTGAGCATCATCCCATACACCAAAAGGTGGCAGGTTCCATTCCCGGTCAGGGTACATACCCAAGTTGCTAGATCAATCCCCAGTTGGGGGGTGTGTAGGAGGCAACTGATTGATGTTTCTCTCTCACATCAATGTTTCTCACTCTTTTCCTCTCTGAAAAAGTCAATTAAAAAAAGGAAATAGGCCAATGTCCAGAATATGGGATATTCTATAGCAGTGGTTCTCAACCTTCCTAATACAGTTCCTCATGTTGTTGTGACCCCCAACCATAAAATTATTTTCGTTGCTACTTCATAACTATAATTTTGCTACTGTTATGAATCATAATGTAAATATCTGATATGCAGGATGTATTTTCATTGTTACAAATTGAACATAATTAAAGCATAGTGATTAATTACAAAAACAATATGTAATCATATATGTGTTTTTCGATGGTCTTAGGCGACCCCTGTGAAAGGGTTGTTCGACCCCAAAAGGGGTTGCGACCCACAGGTTGAGAACCGCTGTTCTATAGGAAAAATGACCTAGTTTCTCCAACAAATCATCAATTTAATTGTTTATTTCACCTAGCCATTCTAGAAGACTTTGAAATAATATTGATTTTGAATATTTGCAATAAAGCAGTCCTTCTTAGGAATTTTCATAAGTGTTCTTTAATAACATTGAATTTTTTTCTGATTTCAAAATATATTTGTTTATTATATTTTGCTAATTGGGGTAGTACTGTTTGTACATTTTGGGGTCTTGTTTTTTTTTTTTACTTAATGTTACAGTATGAGAATTTCCCATGTTAATAATTACTTTGAGAACATTTTTAATTTCTACATAATATTGGCACATATATAATACATAATATGCAATTTTGGCTCTATTATTGTTGATTTAGATTATTTACAACCTTCACTGTTATCTGTAGAACGAGGACAAAATCCCTGTCAAAAAGTTGTTAAAGACATACTGTATGTATATATTTATCTCATTTAAAACTTGAATATAGTTTAGGGTAAAAAACATTATTGTAATAAAAGTCATGTTGATTTGGGCTTTCAGTTGCTTCATTTGTAACTAGAAACCATTTTCTCCTCCCAGGGCATAAAACCAGCCAGTTTCAATAAAGTCACTGATCCTGAAGTGAAAGAAATCATCGAAGGTTGTATTCGTCAAAACAAATCTGAAAGGTGGGTGCTGATGTAGTGAAATGACATAACTGATGGATGCATTTTTCTCTTACCTTGCACCTGGTCATTTTCTGACCTTTGCATGGAAGCCAAACCCAAACCATACTGTCTTTAGTAAAGTTTATCAGTACATCTTGTTTGCCATTTTAGACTTGGGTATCATCTGCTAAATTTTCCTTGAAGCAACATTTGATTTGTGTGTGTGTGTTGTGACAAGCTTTTTGCACCTTGAGGCATCAATTTAAGTCAGTGGGTTCCCCCTCCCCCATTAACTTACTTCTGACAGTTGATTAAGTAGAGAGCTTCTGTGGTCACCTTCATGTAAGTACTTAAATGGTTTTTTAATGATAGTTTTTTAAAAATGTAACCATCAACTCACCAGGTTTTTTAAATTTAACCCTATGTCCTTATATTATGACTAGAGGCCCGGTGCATGGATTTCATGCACATTGAAAGGAAACTAATTAGAAGAAATATTTTAATATCACTATTTGCCCTTTCTCTATAATAAAAGTGTCAACCAAATTCACAATGGACAATGACAGATCAAAACACACGTGTGTGATTGGCACCAGTGAGAGCTTTATATGTATCGCGCATGCGCGAGTCAACTTAGCCATATATAAATATATATATTAAACTTGCTTAATTAGACCTGCTTTCTGATTTAGCTAAACTTTTTCCAGCCCACTGAAGCACCCCAACTTCTCTTTCAGGTAATTGTCAGCAACACAGCAAATTATTATTGTAGATCATGCAGGGAGAGCAAAGGGTAAAATATTTAACTGCAGCAGTGTTTTTTGACTATATTCTGTGCAGTGAGTAAACCTGAAGTTATTTTTCAAGGTCCACCATTTCTTACTTATTCTCAGTCGGGTCAAGTTTCTAAACTTTCTAAATCTCCATTTTCCAGCTAATGAAAAGAAAATAGGATTCCACCAAGTCTCCTACCTACCTACTCCAGGACTTCTGTGAGGATCAAATGAAATGAGGCAGAGGAAAACGCTTCACAGACATTTGGTTAAAGTGTAAAATGTTTGCACCTGGCTATAAAGCAAGTCATCTTCCTGGGCTGAAGAAACTTCAAGGAGGCTAGTCGCTAGGGAGAGGAAGCTGGGCGTTGCTACGTGATGTCATTACCTGGCCCCCACAGCAGCCGTTTCCGGTCTGAGCTGGGCTGGGGGCCACATTTTGCACCATGGGGTCTTGGCAGTGTTTTGCTGCGATTTGGTGGGCTGTTGCTCTGGGGTGGTGGTGGGGCTTCTGTCCCACTTGGGGGAAGCTGAGTGTTGCTTTGTGGGTGCCAGGTCCTCAGTGCCATTTCTTTGTAAATGGCCAGTGCGCATCATGACAGCTCCTGTGTTGAGCGTCTGCCCCCTGGTGGTCAGTGCACATCATAGCGACTGGTTGGATGGTTGGAGGGACACTTAGCCTATTAGCCTTTTATATATATAGATGGTAAAGTTGATAGGGCTGTTTTTATTCACGAATTGGTATTCTAGATTATTTGTATCACAATTTCTGTTTTTCTTGTGGACAACTCCTTTTAGTTTTAGCTTATATTTCCCTTTCATTTGAGCTTTGGACAGTTGCTGACTTAAATTGAAGGATTAGTCATTTGATTTTTACCTCCTTATTGATTTTGGTTAATAAAGTTGACAGGTCCTGCCCTGGCTGTTGTGGCTCAGTGGTTGAGCATCAACCTATGAACCAGGAGATCATGGTTCAATTCCCAGTCAGGGTGCATGCCCAGGTTGTGGGCTCGATCCCCAGTGGGATGGGGGGGGCATGCAGGAGGCAGCTGATCAATGATTTTCTCTCATCATTGATGTTTCTTCCTCTCTCCCTTCCTCTCTGAAATCAATAAAAATATGTTTTTAAAAAAGGTCCTTTATAGAAAGTATTTCCACCAGCATTTGATTGACTGTTACCTACACTTTTATTATTTTTCTATCTAAATTTAATGTTGCTTATCTGAGAATACATAAAGCCACTAAGGTAAGGCCTGTGTAATTATAGCTTTATTACAGAATATTCTTTGTGTTTGTACCAACAGGCCATATCTAGGTATATATTTGTTTTCATTATGGTAAAATTTATATAACATAAGAATTACCATTTTAGTCCATTTTGTGCGTTATAATCCAGTGGCATTAAGTACATTCACATTGTTGTACAACTGTCACCACTATCTTTTTCCAGAACTTTTTCAGCATCCCAACAGAAACTCTGTACCCATTAAACAACTCCTCATTCCCTCTTTCCCTCAACCCTTTGTAATCTCTCTTCTACTCTCTACCTCTATGAATTTGCTTATTCTAGTTTCCTCCTATAAATGAAATCATACAGCATTTCTCCTTTTGTGTCTGGCTTATTTCAGTTAGCATAGTTTTCAAGTTGTAGCATGTATCAGAATTTCGTTCCTTTTTAAGGCTGAATAATATAACACACATAATATAACATAATATAACATACATACACACACATAAATATGCCACATTTTGTTTATTCATGTTTCTGCTAATGGACACTGGTTATTTCTACATTTTGTCTGTTATGAGTACTTCATGAAAATTGGGGTACAAATATTTGCTTGAATCTCTGTTTTCAATTCTTTTCGGTATAAACCTAGGAGTGGAATTACTGGATGATATGGTAATACTACATTTAATTTTATAAAAATATTTTTATTGATTTCAGAGAGGAAGGGAGAGGGATAGAGAGATAGAAACATCAATGATGAGAGAGAATCATTGATCAGCTACCTCCTTTCTCTCACTACTTGGGGGAGATCGAGCCTGCAACCCAGCCATGTGCCCTTGGCTGGAATCGAACCTGGGACCCTTTAGTCCACAGGCCGATGCTCTATCCACTGAGCCAAACTAGCTAGGGCTACATTTAATTTTTTTTAAGAACCATCCAACTGTTTTCCGCAGCAGCTACACCATTTTGCATTCCCTACAGCAATGTAGGAAGGTTGTAATTTCTCAACATCCTCACCAACCCTTGTTATTTTCTGTTTGTTTGTTTGTATGATTTTTGGTAATAGCCATCCTAGTGGGTATGAAGTGGTATTTCATTGTGGTTTTGATTTGCATTTTCCTAATGACTGATGATGTTGAGTATGTTTTCATGTGCTTATTGGCCATTTGCATATCTTTGGAAAATTGTCTATTTAAGTCCTTTGCCCTTTTTTAAATTGAGTTGTCTATTTTTGTTCTTTTTGAGCTGTAGGAGTTTAGGCCTGCTCTTTTTAAGCAAGGCTAAAAATACTATGTTGAAGTAGCCATTTTAGTTTGGATTCTGATTATTGTTTGTACAGCATTTTAATTACGATTTATTAAGAACACTGGAATATTCAAAAGGATTCATGGCATATTTATTGGAAAGAGCACAGGTTTCAGTGTGAGTCTAAAATTCAAATCTGGACTCACTTAATCAGTGTGATATTGATTTAACTGTTACTCAAAACAGGCATTGTTTTGATGATTAAAAAGATAATGAATGTCTATAAAATCCCTAACAGAATGATATGTATTTAATGAATGGTATCTTTTGCGATTGCTATAATTATTCTTTAGTCAAATAGGCAAAATTTTCATTGAAGGTAGAGGGTTTAACTTGGTTGTGCTTTCTTAAACACATCTCACCTTAACCTTAAAACTAATTAGTCTGAGCAAGATTATTCTTTGTATATCACTGCCTTAGTTAAATATTTGTCTTTTTTTCTTCTATTTCTTTTTTTTCTTTATTGATTAAGGGTTATTTGTCTTTTGATCACTAAATATGTAGAGGGTTTAAATCCTTAACTTACAGGATAACGCTTTGTCAATATGCTTTGTCTGTTTTAAATAGCACAGGAGGGGCTTTCTACATAGACATTATGGAATACATCAGTTTTAGTGCTCCCTGGCCTGTAATACAGATAGATTAGATATTATATCTCTATTTTGGAAGTTGGTCAAAGGAAAGGAAATTAATTTCCCAGCTTGTAAAAGAATCTTTAGAACCCCTGTACTTTTTTTTTCTTCAAAGATGGTTAATCCCTGATACTAAGCTAGTCTTTTATCCATTGTATGTATACTTTGGCCTAAAACACTAGACATAAATACTTCAAGAAAACCATGGGACTTTACTGAACTAAATTGTAAATTAGCTTCACCTATGGTATGCTCTAAAGAGTGACATACACTGACTAGATTATGGCTAATGAAGTCTACGAGTTCTATTTTTTTAAATGTTTTTATTGATCTTAGAGAGAGAGAAACATCAATGATGAGAGAGAATCATTGATTGGTTGCCTCCTGCATGACTCCTACTGGGGATCGAGCCCGCAACCCAGGATGTGCCCTGACCAGGAATCGAACCAGCGATCTTTTGGTGCCACACTGGCCAGGGCTACAAGTTCTATTTATAACATTTGCAAAGAATTTGAACTTTTAATTTAATTTAGAGTTTACATATCTGGAAGAGTTTTTCATTTCCTTGGCAGGCAATATGTTGCTTGAGTCTTAACACATTGTGGAGCAGTAGTTTTGTTGCTAGCTTTACCAGTGGCCAGATAAGTTTCTATTGAATGAGTACAAAAAGCGTTTTACATAAATGTTAAAGGCACGCCTTAAAATTAAATACCCATTGCATTTTGAAGTTATTACATGTTCTTACAAGCTATGATCTTTTTAAAGTAAAATACTGTGTAATATGAAAACACGAGAATTCGTGTGATCTGTGTGCAATGTGTTTTAATAACCTAAGCCAGTGGTTTAGGGAAACTACTCAATTCACGTAACATGAACTGCAGCACTTCTCCAAATCTCTGTCTCTCTTTTTAATAATTCTTTATTGTCGAAAGTATTACATATGCCCCCCCTTCCCCCCCATGCACCCCCTCCAGCCTGCCCCTCTCACCCTCCCCCCTCCACCTGCCCCAGGCCATCACTGCCCAGTTGTCTGTGTCCGTGGGCCATGCATAAATGCATACAAGGTCCTTGGTTGATTACCTCCCATTCACCCTCCCTCTGAGATTCCGTCTCCAACTTTCTTTAAGGCATACTTTTAGGTATGTTAAACTTCAGTATCTAGATATGTTGCTAGTAATAATCTTTAATTAAGATCCCTACAGATGCATGTTAGTTGGAAATTTTTTTTGCATTCTTGGTAATAATAAGAGAAAATATTTTGTTTTTATGACAAGGCAGATTAATAGTTTAATTAATAGAAATTTTAAAATAGATTGTTACTTTGATACAATTAATTTTAAAGTTTCTATGTGTTGTTTATGATTGGAAGGATTGATAATGAACTATGTATTTTGTTTATTAGGTTGTCTATCAAGAACCTACTAAACCACGCATTTTTTGCTGAGGATACAGGACTGAGGGTGGAGTTAGCAGAGGAAGATGATTGTTCAAATTCATCTCTGGCTTTACGACTCTGGGTTGAAGACCCTAAAAAATTGAAAGGCAAGCACAAAGACAATGAAGCTATTGAATTCAGTTTCAATTTAGAAAAAGATACCCCTGAGGAAGTAGCCTATGAAATGGTAAGTGAATGCTACTGCTATTTCCCCCTGCCCTTTAGAAGTATCAGCATTGATTTCCTTTCTCATTGCTTTCTTTTTTCATTTTCTCCTTTTCTTTGTTTAAATTGATATTGTACTATGAAATGTATTGCTACAGCAGAGTATATTAAATTTGTACACACTATAAAGACTGATAATATACTACCTTTGTTAAGAAACAGAACACAATTGGTATCTTAGAAGCCATCTGTGTGCCCCTCCAGGTTGCATTTCCCTCGCTCATCACCACCAGCAATATCTATTCTGACTCTTGTGTCATTCCTTTGCTTTTCATTGTAGTTTACCTAAGTAACATACGGTTTTGTTTTGAAAACCTGAGTGGCGAGCACACACCCCACTGGTTACTGAAGTTACTCCTGGGTGAAGCTGCCCAGGAGAGGAGGAGTTGAACAGAACCTCTCAGTCATTGTCTGGCTTCAGCTTCCTGAAGGGGTTACAAGAGCCCCTTCTGGGGAAGTCAGTGGGTGAGGTCACACGGGAGTCCAGGGAACTAAACACGTGGCTCCCCTCAGTCAGTGCACCAGCGGGGCTGTTGTGTGGACCAGAATGAGTTGTCTGGGTCCCCAACCTGGGCTGTTGCAGCGCTTGGAGGGAGAGCTTGCAGGAGCTTCATTCCGCAGCATGTGGTCATAGTTAGTGAAGTACAGATACTGTGTAGCAGGCTCATCTGGGCATTCCGTCCTCAGGTTAAAAAGAAGAATGGGCCCTGGCCAGTTTCTCAATGGTTAGAGCGTCAGCCGCTTCTGGTCAAGGGCACGCATACCTCGGTTTCAGGCTTGATCCCTGGCCACAGTGGTGGTGTGTGTTGGAGGCAACCAATCGATGTGTCTCTCTCACATCGATGTTTCTGTCTCTTCCCCTCCCTTCCACTTTATTAAAATCAATGGAAAAATATCCTCGGCTGAGGATTAACCAAAAAAAAAAAAAAAAAGAAGAAGAAGAAGAAAAAGAAGAAGAATGGGACAGTGACAGTGGAGATCTTGGAGACAACAGGTCTTTCTTTCTAGTCACACTCTTCTAAGCTGGAATGATTGCCTTGAACATATGGCACAAAGCTCTCATCCTGGTATCTCCCTTCACTGTCTTCATAGACTTCTCTGCCTTTCTCCTGTATTGGACTTCATGTTCCTAAATCCCACAGATTACTCTTTTGTTATGGCGCCATACTTCCTCTATTAGCGTCTTAAGAAAAGGTACATGGGAGGTAAATTCTTTGAGACTTGCATATATAAAAAGTGTCTTTATTCTATCTTCATATTTAACCAATTATTTGGCTGGCTAAGGCATTTTAGGTTGTGCAGTTAAAAAAAATTGAGAGTTGCCGAAACCGGTTTGGCTCAGTAGATAGAGCGTCGGCCTGCGGACTGAAAGGTCCCAGGTTCGATTCCGGTCAAGGGCATGTACGTGGGTTGTGGGCATATCCCCAGTAGGAGATGTGCAGGAGGCAGCTGATCGATGTTTCTCTCTCATCGATGTTTCTAACTCTCTATCTCTCTCCCTTCCTCTCTGTAAAAAATCAATAAAATATATTTTGGAAAAAAAAATTAAGAGTCATTGCTTTTCTAGCTTTCAGTATTGATATTAAGAAGTGCAAAGTTGTTCTGTTTTCTGGATCTTTTGCACGGGATCCATTTTTCCTCTTTGGAAGCTTATAATATCTTGGCATTCTCAATATTCTAAAATTTCAGAGTGATGTGCCTTGATTTGGGTCTATTTTCATTTACTGCCTTGGATACTCAGTGGACCCTCCCAATCTGTCAACTCATAACCTTTATTTATTTATTTTTAAACTTATTTATGTATTGTTAATCCTCACCTGAGGATGTTTTTCCATCAGTTTTTAGAGAGAGTGGAAGGGAGGGGGAGAGACACAGAGAAAGAAACATCGATGTGAGAGAGAGACACATCGATTGATTGCCTCCTGCATGCTCCCGGTCCAGGGCTGGGGATTGAGCCTGCAACCGAGGTATATGCCCTTGACCAGAATCGAACTCGGGACCTTTCAGTCCAAGGGCCGACACTCTATCCACTGAGCCAAACTGGCTAGGTCCAACTCATACCCTTTAGTTTCTGGGAGATTTCTTAAAGTATTTTTTAAATATATTTTATTGATTTTCCACAGAGAGGAAGGGAGAGGGATAGAGAGTTAGAAACATTGATGGGAGAGAAACATTGATCAGCTGCCTCCTGCACACCTCCCACTGGGGATGTGCCTGCAACCAAGGTACATGCCCTTGACTGGAATTGAACCTGGGACCTTTCATTCCGCAGGCCAACGCTCTATCCACTGAGCCAAACCAGCCAGGGCTATCTTGAAGTATTTTATTGATGTGTTCTCCCACCTTGTTTTCTCTTTCTGGAACTGTTATTATTTGGATGTCGGACCTCTTGAACTGTTTCTCCAATTTTCTTATCTTTTCTATGTTCCATCTTTTTGTCTTTTTATTTTCCTTTCTGGCAGATATTATCAACTTTATCTTCTAACCCTTCCATTGAGTTTTTCATTTCTGCTATCATGTTTTTAATTTTAAGAGTTCCTTTATACTTTGGTCTGTTTCTTTTTTAGAGAAAAAATCGTGTTCTTTGTGGTGTTGATGCAATATTATTGCATCTTTCTGTAACCTTAGTAAAGGGAGTGCTTTTGACATTTTTTTTCCTCCCTGCATAGTCTCTTTACTCCAATTTGCTGCTTTTTTCCCTTTGTTAGCTTTGTGCTCCATCTTCTTGGTAGAGGCTTTTCTCATATTTCTGGTAATTCTTGGCTGGCTGCTGGCTGTTCATGATTAATAGTGGAAGAGTGTATTAGTTTTCTATTGCTGTGTGACAAATGATCACAAACGTCTTAGTGGCTTAAAACAACACTCATTTATAATCTCAGTTCTGTAGGTCAGAAGTCCTAGTGGGCTTCGCTGGATTCTCTGCTTGGGGTTTCGCAGGTTGAGGTCAAGGTGTTGGCCACCAAGGCTCTACTCTGGAGGCTCTGGGAAAGAATCTGCTTCCAGGCTCATCCAGGTTGTTGGCAGAATGTAATGCTGTGCAGTTGCAAGACTAAGGTCCCCATTTTCTTGCTGGCTGTTAGCCAGGGGCCACTTGCAGTTCTTACAGTCCCTTCACATGCCCCCACGTCTCCTTTAAGTTAGCAATGGCATGTTAAATCCTTCTAGTGTCACCAGCTGGTCAAAGGCTCAACCAGATCATCTCCCTACCTTCATGTCAACTGTGCCTAGCACAGTGACATCTCATCATTTGCTCAGGTTTGAGGATCAGGATGGGACATCTTCCAAGGGCCATCATTTGCCTACCACAGAGACTGACATGACAAGCTGATAGGACCATATGACTGCTTGTGTCAGACTTATTAACTTTGACCTCTACCACAGGGTATCTGGGTGAGCCATTAGTTGGGGAATCTCTGACATCAATATTTGTTGGTTTTTCTTCTTGGATTGGTCAGATCCCTAGAGAGGAATCTTTCATTGTCCTTCCTGGAGGGTAAGGGTCTGGTTACTGGTATTTTGGTAGCCAAGTGGAGAAGAGGGCTGGAAGTTTCTGCATATGGCATTCAGCATGCATATGGTCGCTTAATCTTTTTGTTTTCCACTTGGAAGCCATATCCTCAACTGTGCCTGGTGTTCCATAGTCCAGAGAACTAAACTGCAGACTCCTTGGGTAGGGGAGAAGCAGTCACTGAAAGGAGTGGAATGGCTGGTGGGGCATAGGATCCTACATACCTGTTTCTCAAAACCCTTTCCCTTAGTCTTCCTTATTTTAGTCATCTCTTTTGATTTTACCCAGTTTTGGAAGTACCTGGTACTACCAGTCCCTGCACCTTGTGAGTAGTGTTGAGTGTGAATGGGAATCTCGGCTTTCTCTAGTTCACCTCTTTTAGGTTTGCTGAGTCAATTATTATCTACTTGTTTTCCATATTCAAAAGAGTCCCAACTGTTGTTGCTGTTGTCTTTCTCTTATTCTCCCTGTCCTTATGGGCTTATAACTTAAAAATGCATTTCCTATGGGTTTGGGGGGTTTGTTTTTTTTAGCTTTCAAAGGGAGTGAACTTAAATATATGAGCTTTGTCTCACATTTTAATCATCTTTCAACTACCAGGAAATTTCCCCAAGTCAGCAAACTCCCAAGACATACTCTAAAATGCAGATTGTAGGACTGAGAATGATAGGCTATAGCACCTCCCCAAGTCTTTTCTACTCCTCAGCCCTGGTCCTCTCAGACAGCAAGTCCTTAACTTCTCCTCACTCCTCTAACACCTAGCACGCTGTAGTACTTTGCTGTTAGCATACTTTCCTCTGCCTAGAGTGTTGATCTGTAAACGTCATCTACACTCAGTAGCCTGCCAAGTTCCTTTTTCTGTTTGTTTTAATCCAGGTCAGAGTTTATCTTCTTCTGTGATACTTTCTCTACTTCCTCCAGAGAGGCATGTGCTCCTTTAGGGCTTTTACAGCAGCTCATTTCTACCTCATTTCATTTTAAGCTTGTATCTGTCCCTCAGCATCAGATTGTGTGCTCATATAGGGCAAAGGGCCAACTTAATCACCTCTATGTCTCTAGAGCCTATTGTAGGCACTTAATGTTGCTGAGTGTGCAAACCCTTTTAATGTCACAAAACAGGGCAGTCATAAATACCCTATAATAAGACTGCATGTACTGAAACATCAAGTTATTTGCTTGTTTGATTTAAGACCAGAATTCTTTTAACAATGCTTGGTGATAGTATTGTTTTCCTTTTGTTGATTAAAGACTCTGACATTTACCTATGTCTAATTAAGAAAGAACATAGAAACTGTTATTTAATAGCATTTGGGATTTGGGGGCACTAAATAACTCCACTAGTTTAAAAAAAAAAGGTTAAAATCTTAAATGTTAGATGTGAGGGCGGACCTTGCTGCAAACATCTATCACCCCATTGATCCCCGGGGTTAAATGTTAAAGATATAGTTTGCTGTTTATGTTTTGTTTGTAGGTCAAGTCAGGATTCTTCCATGAAAGTGATTCCAAAGCTGTTGCTAAGTCCATTAGAGACCGGGTGACCCTGATAAAGAAGACAAGAGAGAAGAAGCCAGCTGGCTCTTTAGAAGAACGCAGGGATTCGCAGTGCAAGTCTGTGGGGAGTGTTCTCCCTCCACCCCAGAATACAACTCTGCCCCCTGCTCCTGCTCAGCACACCGCGGCTGAGTGTGAAGAAACTGAAGTCGAACAACAAGTTCGACAACAGCTTCTACAAAGAAAACCACAGCAGCAATGTTCCTCTGTTACAGGTAACATAGTTATAACTTATAAAAATAAACAATGCCTGGCTGGTGTGCCTCAATTATTTTGGCCTCGTCTCATGCACCGAAAGGTTGCTGGTTCGATTCCGTCAGGACACATATCTGGGTTTCGGGCTTGATCCCTGTAGTGGGGGTATGCAGGGATCAAGCCCGAAACCCAGGTATGTTATGCGCTTACATCGATGTTTCTCTTCCTCTCCCTTAAAAAAAAAGTAAAAAAATAAAAGCAAATAAATGTGTAATTATATTCCCTTATCTTTAGATAATACTTTTTTATTTTTCAATGTATTATTTATCATTTTATCAGTCCTTTTACAAATTCCCTGAAATAGATAAGCCAGCTAGTTTTATTTGAAAATGTTCTGTTACATGACTTGCCCAAGGTACTAGTGGCATAAGGATTATAATCTTTCTACCATTTTAAGGGTCTAAAATAAGTCCTTTAATATAGAAAACTAGGAACTAAAGGGTATGATTTTTTTCTTTAAGAAGGAATTTTCTAAACTTTAAGACTCTTTGTATTTTGTACTCAAGTATAAAATTAACACAGTGCCTCTAATTTTTCTATTGTCATGCATTCTCTTTTCTAGAAGGATACAGCATTTTCATAGTAATAGCTAATTGTTGTATAATGACAGTATTATTCTCTAGCTAGCTTCTAGGAGAATAAAAAAGAATATGACATTTAGATTTTACTGAAACCCTATTGACAAGTATAGGTTAGTTAAGGATATATGTGAAATGGCCAGCAAATGGATTTGATTTTTATGTGATTCTTTGTTTTCAGCTTTTGCTTTACTAAGAAAATTTTTGCCATTCTATCATATCAGCACAGAGTTTACACTGAGAGTTTTTTTATTAATTCTGCATTGTACATATTTTATTTGAAGATGTCTCAGGTTGTCAGTGTAAGAAAAAATGAAAGAAACACTATTTCCAATGCTATTTGGACCTGGTGCTTCAAGTTTTCACTTCTACCTGTTGCTTATTTTCTTTGTTCTAGGTGACAGTTTATCCGAGTCCGGAGCTGGATCAGTTACACACTCAGATGCAAGTCAGCCCAGCACAGGCTATTCCTCGGACCAGGTGATGGGCTCTCAAATGGTTTCTAGCATCCCACAGGCCGAAATGAATGTTCCAGGGAAGATTTATCCACCCCAGCAGCTAGTAGGACATTACCAGCAGATTTCAGGGGTAAGATGATCTGTTATATTTTTAAATATATAATCAGCATATTTACTGTAAATGGGAGGGCTTATCTTTAATCGTTTTTGGGTTTTTTTTCTTATGTGACTGTTACAGAAGCAGCCACAGCTGGCTCAGCCCCAGATTTTGCCTTTGGCTCAAGGTCAGTCCACTGTTTTGCCTGTACATGTCCTTGGACCACCAGTCTCACAACCCCTGGTGTCCCCATTAACTGTCCAGAAGGTCTCGCAGACAAAGGTAAGATACATTTTAGAAGCCCTGTATTCAGTTAAACATATCTAACACTGCCTCGATTTTCTGCTAGGCAAAGGCACTCTTTCATAAATTCATCATGGTTTTTATAAAAGTCACTGAAAGCTGAAAGTTTCTGCTTTCCTTCACCTACGACATTCTTCTTGAGGATGCACCTAAACTAACATTGTATAACTAGAATTTTGAGACATTGCTCATATAATTGGAAAAGAAACCACCCTTAAGCTTTGTCAAGCCATTCTTCTGCTCAGTATGTGAGTACAGCACAGCTCCCTTTTGGTTCCATTGAAGGCCATTCAGGGGCCCATTGGGCTTCACAAAAGATACACTCAGTACACCAGCCATACCCAAGTGGCACATCAGGAGTCCATATCTCCAGGTTCTTCAGTGCCACAAAATCAGATTATGCATTTGAAGAAGCCTTTTTTCCAAGCCTGTATTCAGCAGCAGCCATTAGCTTGACAACCTAAGATTATGGCATCACCACAGAAAAATGTTCAGCAGGGTTGTATTCTGCAAGAATCTGAAGCTCATGCAAGTCAGTGGCAGCCAGGGGGTGGTATTGAAAGTGTGATTCAGCCTCTGGAACAGCCATCTTATTCTGTTCAACACACTTATCCAGGACCATCACAGAACTTCCATCCTTCCCTTGAAGGCTCCCGAGCAGCTGCTCTTTGGGATACATCCCCGGAACAAGCTTATTACCCATCATAGTCAGCTCACCCAATCCAGGCTCCAGCACAGCCTATTTATATACTGCCAGCCGGAGAGCATCCTCTTTACACTGTATAACCATCGGGATCACAACCAACTCATTCTTTGCAGACTTCTTCTCCAATCTCACCTACTGGTACAACCCTCTTATTCAGCCTCAGGCCAAGGGAAGCCTGCTTTCCCAGTGCAACTTCCAGTTCAGTCACCTTTTCCAGACCAGGGAGCATATAGGATCCAAGCAGCTTACCCTGTGCAACCTATGGAACAGCCCACTTACCAGGCACTATATAGCATGCCCCTTATGCAGGACAAACTTATTACACCATCCAGACAACTGAACAGGCAACCTTTATAACCCAGCATGTATATGCTGGAAACCCTTCTAATAGCAAGAAAACACATATTACAAACTGCAGGTCAGAAATTGTACTCAGTACCACCTTATGTAGCACAGACATCTGAACAACAAGCCTATTTAACACAACCTTAAGGTAATAATTCTTCAACAAAAGACATTTAACATCAACCTTAGATACACAGACATATTCTTTTATATATATACTAGAGGCCCAGTGCACAAAAATTTGTGCACTCGGGAGGGTCCCTCAGCCCGGCCTGTGCCCTCTCACAGTCTGGGACCCCTCGGGGGATGACCACCTGCTGGCTTAGGCCCGCTCCCCGGGGGATTGGGCCCAAGCTGGCAGTCAGACATCCCTCTGGCAGCCCGGGAGCCCTCAGGGGATGTCCACTTGCCAGCAGGGAGCAGGCCTAGCTGCAGTCGGATATCCTTAGCACTGCTGAGGAGGCAGGAGAGGCTCCCACCACCACCGCTGAACTGGCAGCTATCAGCCTGGCTTATGGCTGAGCAGAGCTCCCCCTGTGGGAGCACACTGACCACCAGGGGGCAGCTCCTGCATTGAGCGTCTGCCCCCTGGTGGTCAGTGTGTGTCATAGTGACCAGTGATTCCCAGTCACTCTGCTGTTAGGATCAATTTGCATATTGCCCTTTTCTTATATAGGACTAGTGACCCGGCGCATGGATTTGTGCACATTGAAAGGAAATTAATTAGAAGGTGGCCATTGGGGCGGGGTGGGACTGGGCGAGAAGGGCAGGACACGCCCTGGAGCCAACCGCCTGCAGTCCCTTTCTGGCTGGCCATACCAGGGGTGGCACCGTGGCTCAAAGGGCGTCTGCGGAGTGAGCGGGGTCCCTCTGGCAGGTGGGGTCCCTCGACCTGGCCTGTGGGGATCACCTGCAGGGATCGGGCCGAAACTGGCTCTCCGACATCTCCCAAGTCGTCCTGGAGTGTGAGAGGACACTCTGCAAAGTTGCTGTCATACAGGGTGTGGAATGCAAATGCAAGTGTGCAGTAAACCAGATTTGGGGCCGACAGTGCCCCAGCAACAACATAACCCATGGCTGAAGGTGGAATCACGTGGCCCCCCGTGAGGAATTGGGCTACCTCTTCTTTGTTTTCTGGGTGCATCACTCAAGACTACCGCTGCCAAATCACTGCAGCTCGGCAGCTCCTTTGTTGAGCGTCTGCCCCCTGGTAGTCAGTGAGCGTCATAGCAGCCGGTCAGTTGGACACTTAGCATATTAGCCGTGTGTGTGTGTGTGTGTGTGTGTGTGTGTGTGTGTGTGTGTGTGTGTGTGAGAGAGAGAGAGAGAGAGATACATTGATTTTAGAGAGGAAGGGACGGAGGGAGGGTGGGAAGGAGAGAGAGAGAGAGAGAGAGAGAGAGAGAGAGAGAGAGAGAGAGAGAGAGAAACACCATTGATGAGAGAGAATCACTGATTGGCTGCCTCCTTCACACCCTCCACTGGGGATCGAGCCCACAGCCCCGGCATGTGCCCTAACTGGGAATCGAATTGTGATTTTTCTGGTTCATAGGTCGATGCTCAACCACTGAGCACACTGGCTGGGCCACAGACACTTTCTACTGAGCCTTTATTTAGTGTCCAGCATTCAGAAGCTCCATCCCAGATAGATGTCAATTTTGGACACCAGCAGCTAAAAGCCCAGTCAACTAGCATTCCATCTCAGCGGGCCGTGGAAGGACAGTTTCAACACCCTGTGTAGATGTCCTTCATTCAGCAGGCCTCCTCACTGGCCCACATCCAGCCCTGTACTTCTCTGCACAGCTTTTTGCCTCACATCTAACACCAAGCCAGGTTTCTCACTCAGCTTTCATTCAGAATCAGCAGATCATTCATTCATCTCATAGACAAAAACACAAAAGCCATCAGCAGTCTACTCAAGAAGGTCACATCTGCAGCAGCATTCTTTTTTTAAAAATGAATATTGCCTATTTAATCCTCACACCCAGTTTTTAAAATATATTTTTATTGATTTCAGGGAGGAAGGGAGAGGGAGAGAGAGATAGAAACATCAATGATGAGAGAATAATTGATCGGCTGGCTCCTGCACGCCCCCAACTGGGGATTGAGCCCATAACCCGGGCATGTGCCCAGCATGTGCCCTTGACTGGAATCGAACCTGGCACCCTTCAGTCTGCAGCCCGACACTCTATCCACTGAGCCAAACCAGCTAGGGAAGCAGCAGCATTCTTTGCGTAGCCAACATGCTGTTTTTCCACAGCAGGCACCTAACCAAGGTCAGCCATTACTAGGTATTCCAAGGGCCATTCCAAACACAGTCTAGATTACATGTCCTTTGCAAGAACAGTTGCAACCAGCAGCAATGGAACAACATGTAATACAACCTTTAGAGCAGCCTTAAGTGCTTCAGGCATTAGACAGCAGTCAGACTTTTCCCCTGCAGAAACACCTAGCACGGCACCAGCCAGCATGGACTCGGCAGTGGCCTGCTGTCCAGCCACGGTGGCAGCCAGCTTCTAGCTCAGCACTTGTTTCTGGGTCATCAGAAAAACAATTACAACAGCAGACCCTCTATCAAAGTGCTGGGATAGCCCTTCCAAATTGGCCATCTTCTTCTGTTCATCTGTCACCACTTGGTCTCCCAGTACAGGCTTCCACTGCCTTTCAGAGCATTTTCCTGTTAACAGGTAAAGCAGCATTTGCAAAGCCAAGAATTTCCAAAGGTAAATCCTCCTGGGAGAAGATAGTGGATGATTGTGATTTTTCTGTAATGTTCCAGGGTCAGGGAGATAGTGAGCTGTAGTAGAAATGGCACTGAACTGGGAGTCGCAGTCCCTCTTTTGGCTCTTTTCCTTCCTGAGTGGCCTTGACTCAAGTCTCTTTGGCTTTTCCTGATCTGTAAAGTGAAGGGATGAGACCCGATGATGATAACAACAATTACTTGAGCACCAACTTGGGATATGTCAGTTAATAAAAAACAAAAATGTTTTCTGTCACTGAGTTTTGTTGCCTAATCGAGGGAAGACTCAATTACCATAATAAAAAGTAAATTATATAATACAGTACAAAGCGATCGGGAAATTTAGAGCAGGGTAAGGAGGAAAATGGGTTGCAATTTTCTGTAAGGTGGCGATCAAGGTAGGCCTCATTGAGAGGGTGACATTTGAGGAGGCGAGGGAGTCCACAGTGTACATTCCAGGCAGAGGGAATAAGCCATGGAAAGGCTCTAAGTGAGGAGTGTGTCTGGCATGTTTGAAAAATAGCAAGGAGGCCAGAGTAGTTGTTAGTCCTAAAATGTTAGGAGCCTATCTTACTGTTCTACATTTATTATAAAGCATTGCCTTTATGAAATGAAACTAATGATCACCAATGAGTGATTCCTAGGTACCAAATGCTGTTTTCTAACAGCCTAACATATACTGTCCTAACAACCCTGTGAATAGTAGCTGTCATTACCCCCATTTTACAGGTGAGAAAACTGAGGCTCAGAGAGGTTGAGTTACTTTCCCAATGACATACAGGAGGGCCAGGGTTTGAACCCTGATTACCTGGCTGCAGAGGCTGAGCCCTTAATCATGACACCATTCAGCCTCTTTGTAGGATAGCTGTCTTCTCTACTGGAAAGGAGAAAAAGGGTATGATGACTTCAGTGAGATTTATTTAACATAGGGATTGATTGAAATCGTTAAAGGAAGGAACTGAGAATCCAGTTTATTCTTTTCTTACTCTTCTGTTCTGCTTTGATATCTCTAACATCCCTGAATTTGTTGAGTTTGGCTAATAAAAATGCTTTGAGCTTCTTAAATAAAATGTACGCTGCACTGTAAGACTTTTCTAATTATGATATATTACTGTTCCAAAGAGCTATTATCTCAAGTATTACGTGTTTTATAAAATTCTCTCTTTATCAAGGGCATATATCAGTGAT